GAGGCTGCCCGTCCCCTAGTCCGCTAGCCGATTAAAAAGAAAAAAAGCTACAAGCAAGGGGTGCAGTAAAAGCTGCCTGCAGAATGACCCACAGAAGGTCTGCCTCCCGTCTGCAGCGGGTGACACCTCTGTGGCAGCCCAGGGCGAAGACAGGGCTGTCCTGGGCTGCAGCTTTTTTCTTTTCCAGCGTGTCACTTTTTCCAGCAGCCGTCGCCTACGTGACATGGTCGCTTTAGCAGCGTGGGAAGTTCCATCTCCGGGACTCCCTTGTTCACCGTGTTCATCGTTCCCTCTCCCAGGCGGATTTTGCTCTTCCTCAGCCAGCAAACGGAAGGCTGTGGTGAATTATCCAGCCTTTGAGAAACCCCCTGGTGAGACTTCAGTCTGAACGTTCAGGTCTTTAGCTAAATTTCCCCCTAATTTAAAGATCCAGATTCCATGGAAAAACAAAAACAAAAACCTACCTTCCTCCCCCGCTTCCCAGCGTCCCTCGGTAAATTTGGTAAATACAACTCTAAATTTAACATCAGCAGGTATTGCACACTGAACAGACCTCCTGCACTGGTTGGGAAGACGTGGTGAGAAGCATGGAAGGGAATGGGGAAGAAGAATTTCCCCTGCATCAGCTGTCTCCTCTGTGGAGAGCCAATAAATGCTCTGCTGGGGCTTTGGGCAGGCAGAGCTCTGCCGGGTTTGTGAGGAGAGCAGGGGTGAAGGATCCGGCTCTTCACTAGGACGGTTCCCTGCCAGGGATGGGGCAGCCATTCACATCGGCAGCTCCTGGTGGGACACGCTAGTGGAGGTTCTCAGGCCTGAGCTCTCAACGGAAGGGTGTTACCCCGCGTGTCTCCATCTGTGTTGTCTTGTGTGACACAGACAGGCTTTTGGACAGGTGTCTGAGCAGACCTCCTCTTCTCCTGGACTTGGCAGGATGAGATCATACACCCTCCCCTGTGCAAGGGACAAAGGGTTTGGTTGCAAATCACCTTCACGGAGGGGGCCCTTTTTTACTGACCTTCCCTTGCGTCTAGCGTGTGCCTCGCTACAATAGGCTGCAGCGGTGGCTCTCACACAGCGTGTGGAGCTTGAGGCTCAGAGCTCCAGGTATGTGTGCAGTGAGGGTAGATGAGGGTTCCCCAGCAAATTGAGCACAGTTGGTCTGTTGCTATAAAATGATGGCAGCTGTTGGAGCCTCATGGTGTGCCTGGGTACAAATTCCTTTTAAGTAGACGTAAAGAACGAAAACCACATCAAGAATGAAAAACACCCAAATGTCAACATTATCTACTGTGTGCACAGCCAGTGAATATTGTTCTCCAAACAAGGCAGCCGATGGTGACTTTCTGTTTCTCAGGTTGCATGTGTTTGTGCGGAGTCTTTGGTTTGTATCCTGTGCCATTTTAATTTCATTCATTAAGCTCTTCTATGCTTTCAGTCCTGTCAGCTTCATTTCAGGGACTACTGTACTGGGTTTGGCCCATACGAATGATTCACTAGCACTAAAACTATTTGGCTACTGAAATTTTTGGGTGGATGGGCCATAACTGCAGTGCATTTTTTAGCCCTTTCTGCCATCTAGTGCCCATCTCCGTTGGTGCATTTAGACTCGGGAGACCAGAGTCTCAATTCCATACCTGAACTAAGCCTAGAGGCCACAGTCAGCAGCCTGGGGAAGGGACCTAGTTTTTCAGCAGCAGTGAGGAACTCTCACTGGGTCGAGGGGCAGAATGTAGTTTCCAAAATTGTGGCCACAAGGATTTGTGTTTTCAAACTCCTTTTTTTTTTTTTTTTTCTTTTAACTGTGCTGTAGCTTTAAACAAATATTGCAATTTGCAGGCTCTACAGTTAAAGTTGGATTGGATCTTACATGGTGTAATTGAAATTTGAGCCCACTCTGCAGGGAATGTAACAGATCAACAAAATGGTTAAAATACCTTGTCTGAATAGCCTTCTCCTTGGGGTTCTGGATTTCTGCTTTGCTTTCCTAAGCCAAAACTCTTCTTCCTTGTCAGCAGTAAGTAGAGGTGGCAAAACAAAGTTTTAATGCAGTAATGTCACCTGTAAGTTTTATTTGCCTGCCCTGGCAAAAGAACAACCAAGCAAAAACAGTAACAAGAGAATTGTGGTATTTTCCCCAGCACATTCACACAGTCCTTTCATCTCTGTTCACTAAGCTGCAGGCCCGTCTACCTTTCCATAGTGGTCTAGACTACCTTCACGTTTGATGAGGGAGGATACTGACATCTTCACATCAGACACTTGTTCTTGCACACACGGGATCTGGGAAATAAATTCTGCAGCGTTACCACACCCCCTCCTGCCAGGCTGTGGGGGGGTGCTTTTTCTCTCATCAGGCTGCAACAAATATCTCGTCTACTGACTCTTCAACCTTTCCAGCATGGATGGAGAAGAACCAGGCATGCCTTGCAAACCAGGAGCACTTATGTCTGCTTTTGGGGAAGTGGGACAAGTGTCAAGAGTAATGAAGTTCTGCTATGCTCTCTGCTGAAGTCCACACTGTTTTTCTTTAGGTACAGTCCACCCTTCTTGTGCTAGGTGCCCTCTCTTCAAGATGGGCCAGGAGGGAAATAACCTGCTAGTAGCCAAAACATACCCAATGTATCCATTGGTCTTTGTGCGTCTCAGAGCCCAGGCCTGTATGTCTCCCTCATCCGGTCATCTACCAGCACACACACGTCAGATATTCACCCACTCCTGCAGTCGTATTACCACATCTGGGGGATATTTCTCCATCCCTAACTCCTCCATTTCACCTTGTTTCATTTGCTTTGTATCAGGCCCACCAGTGTCGTCAGGACTAGCGCAATGCTCTGTGTAGATGTGAGGCAGATTAATATGGCAAAGCACAACACTGACTATGGTGTGAAAGGGTTAGCCATGTATGCCATGTGGAATATTACAGCAGCAACACTTTGTTAAGCATACAACTACTAGCGACATAATCAATCATGGATACATCTCATTGTGCTCTCGCAGTGTTCTCTGGGGAGGGATTTACAAGTTGTTCTCCCCCTCCACCAAAGCAGGCAGGCTGGAGGTAATGCTACCTCAGCTGGAGGAAACCAGTAGGAACCTAGTAGCTTGGTCTAGTGCAATGGAGTCTATGAAGAGTATTGTCCAGTGTTTCCTGCTGGGCAGAAAGGAGAGATTGGGACATTACTAAATATAAATAGCAGGGCACTCTGTCACATTAAATACTTTACATGTTCACACCCTTGGCTGAACACAGCATGCAGGATGTTGGGGGCTTTTTTATTTTCCCCACGACCGTGCTTTCCCCAAGCGAAACGTGTACCTTGCTTTTGTAGAGCTGAGAGTCCTGATGCACATGGTTACAGATCACATATACTGGATAAAGAGGGGATATTATACATAGTGGGAAAGACGAATATTATACATAAATGTAAAAGCAGAGTATAGTGGAATTGCCTAGTGCCTCCCATAGTCAGCTGAGTTGCAGTCTGGCAGGAAAAGCTTACGGAGGCAAGGCAGCGTGCAGACTTCTGCTTAAGCCTCACCAGAGGCGGTCTTCGCTTGTCCTTCTGAGATGTCCTGGTTTTAATAAGGCGAACACAAATTCATTTCAAGGCTCCCCAGGCACAGTCCTTCCTCTGGAGACACATGTGTTACCCTGCCGGCACTAACAGTAAGGTGTGGTGGGGCTGTGTCACAGGAGCATGTCTTTGTTGTCTTTCCCGTTCAGAAGCAAGAGGTGAGCAAGTTCCTCTTGGGGGCTGGTGTGCTCTTCACAATCTTCTTTCGTTAGGAATGTACCGTGTTCTCTGTGACAGAGCCACCTCCAGCGCCTAAGAAATTTCGGGAGTTAGCAGATGGCAGGGAAGGCTCTGCCTCAGGGCTTGGTACCTCTTCTTTGGTGTCTCCCATCACCGACTCCTGCGAGCTTGTCTCTGGGCTGGAAGCTGCCTGGAAGCTGGGCTCAGCACTGAGGGGCTCGATGTTCTGCAGAGGAAGCAGGGCCCGGTGCCGCATCAGGCTGTCGTCACTGTTCTGGGCTTCCAGGGAGTTCCTGCGCTTGGCGTTCCTGTTGGCCATGGCGTTCTTCTGTGGCTCCTCGAAGCTCAGCGACAGGGTGACCGTGCCGCTTCCGAAGCTGACTTTTTGCTTGCACCCACGCTGCTGCTGGCGCTGCCGCTCAGCGGAGGCTGGTAGAGGAAAAGGGTCCTCGTGGTTGCTCTTGCTGCTGATGGAGGAGGAGGGGGTGGAGCCGGTGGAGCCCCCCAGGCTGTTGGAGCGCTTGCGCGACACATTGCTCCGTCTCAGCGTGGCCCTGGCGGCCACCTTGAAAGCGTGGGCAGCTGTGCTGCAGCGCACCTCCTCAATTGTGTTGCGGGAGGGCTTGAAGAGGATGATGTAGACTTTGTTGAAGAAGATGCAGGCCAGAAGCCCAAAGCTGGCAGCCAGTATGGCAATCACCTCCACGGCAGAGACAAACTTGCCATACGTGCTGGCATAAGCAGGGATGAAGGAGATCCACACAATGAAGAATATCAGCATGCTGAAGGTGATGAACTTGGCCTCGTTAAAATTCTCAGGCAGCTTTCGAGACTTGAAGGCAAAGAAGAAGCAGATGGCTGCCAGGAGGCAGGTGTAGCCAATGAGGAAGCCGAGGGCCATCAGGGAGCCTTCATGGCAGGTGATGAAGATAATCTCATCCTCCAGTTCATGGTTTCGGTAACTGGATGGTGGGGCCGTGTAGAGCCAGATCACACAGATGACAATCTGCACGAATGTGCACAAGAAGACCAGGAGGAACTGGAGGTTGAGGCCCCACCACTTTCGATGGAGGCTCGTGGGGATCTTTGCCTCGAAGACGAGCAGGACACGGTTGGTTTTCACAAGGATGCAGGAGATGCAGAGGACAAAGCTGATGCCGAAAGCTGGCTGCCGCAAACGGCAAGTCCAATTCTGGGGCTCACCAATGAAGAACAAAGAGCTGGAGAAGCAGCAGAGCAAGGAGAAGAGGAGGAGGTAGGACAGTTCCCGGTTTGTGGCCTTGACGATGGGCGTGTTGCGAAATTTGGTGAAGACTCCCAGGACAAAAGAAGTGAGGAAAATTCCCAGCACTGCAAAGAGAGTCAGAGCGATCCCAAAGGGCTCGGTCCAGGACAGAAACTCTATCTGCTTGGGGATGCAGGATGTGTGGTTCTCATTCGACCAGTAATCCTCAGGGCACTTGTCACAGGCACTTGCATCTGAAAAAGAGGTGACAGGGAGAGGGAAGGTTTGTCAGAATGAGAGGCTGAAATGCAGGATGACATATATGGCAGCTACGCACCAGCTCTCATCTTAAATACAAGGGGTGTTCCCTTCAGGTGTCTGCAGATTCCCAGAATCTTATGTTGGTGTCTCAGAGTGTTTTACACCAAAACAACCAACCTCCCATGGGCTATAAAGCATGCTTGGTTTCAGCTTAAAAAAAGTCCTACCCCTGCACCAGTGATTTTGGAATCCATTTCTTGGCAAGACTTTGCAAACTTTGATTGCTATCAGCCGTTACACAGGGTCTGTTCGTCTCTCTTCCTTGTTCTTTCATTTTTAACATCTACTTCTGTCTGTCTTCACACCTCTCACACTTTTATCACCATTTGAAACATCTTGCCTGTCTCTATTATGGAGAAAATTAAAAACGTGCTTGCCTCCTTAAGTGCTTTGAGAGCCTATTTCATATTCCACGGAGGTGAGTCTTAGAAGTGTTTAAATTGCTTTTCCCCAAAGGCAGGCAATGCCCTTGACTCCCAGCACACTTTCATTGCATGTTGGAACATCAGGGGAAGATGTGTCTTAATGATATCACTGTCCCTACACACAGCAAATTGTCCCACTGATACTTGCAATGGGAAAATTGATGCCTCCATCTCTCTCCTCTCCATGAAACTAGATGTGCCTACTGGGATGGCATCTTATGTCTCCGATGGCTGCCATGATCAAAAGGCAAGGACCTGCTGCTTCTGCTCCTCTTCTTTCAACCCAATGGGTCTTGTACTCCAGTGGGGACGGCCATGACTCCTTTGATGGCAGTGGAAAGGGTTTGAGAGCAGTGAGCTGGAAGTCACAACTTACCTCAGCCTTTGGGATCCCAGCAGGATCGCAATGGGCTGCAGTGAGTTCTGGGAACAAACATTCAGAAAACTCCTTTAGCAGCAACCTCCCTCTGAGCTTTGCACCTGAGCACAGACAGAGACTCAGAGCGTAGCTGCCAGAGCACAGCTTGATGCTAATGAGAAGGCCAGCAGCTAACAAGGGTGGAGGATTTCAAGCTCTCTCGTTCTTGGGAGGTGGTGATTAGAGGGAGCATCTGTGACCTGATATGACACTGCTTTCCTAAGGACTGGTTGCCTCATCTAAGGTGTTCGTGTGAAAAACTGGCACTAGATGCAATAGCTTAGTCAGAAGCTCCCATCACCACATGTCATTTCATTTACATTCATTCAGCCAATAATTTTTATTTTTCTTGTGCCTTTTACCTGGAAGCCTGTTGCATACTGCAGGCAAGGCAGAGCTAACTTCACATAGCAGGGAATTCTGCCTCTACCAGAGCCAGGGACAGCTATTTATCACTGCATTCTAAAGATGAGGTGACTTAGAGACCATGCTGCCACTGAAGGGAGTAAACCAGATCTCCCTCCTTCCCCAAGGGTGCTCATTCCTGCCTCCTCCTTTGTGTTAGCACCAGAGGTCGCACAGCTGCTTGTTCTAGCTCGAAACTCAGCCTGCCAAAAGTTTGTTTTCAGGAAGACCAGAGACCTGATCCAACTCGCTCTATGGTCACAGGAGTACCAGCACTGCTCCCACACAAAGAGTGGGAGCAAACAGCTGGCAGAGGACAGGACAGATTGTCTCCTTTGGTAGCATTGCTGTCTCAGCTGGATGAGACTGGTTGTAAAACTGCTCTTTACGCCTATAAAACTGGCAAGCATAGGAAATAAAGAGCATAACTGTCAGCTGAAATTGCAGCAGGAAACTGTGGAGTCAGAAAGGAGTCTCCCCCTCAGGCCCACAAATTTCACCAGTGCTAGCTCCCAAAATCATGTGAAAAACACAAAAAAAACCCTATTACACATGACCACTATTGCTTCTATTTAATTTGAAAGTACTACTCCCAAGCATCCTGTAGTACTGTATGTTTATGATAAAAAATTATCATTCCTGTCTGATAGGACACAAATTAGATTCTCCCAAATGAGAACACTTCTTCATTTTGTAAGCAGCTTACGGAAGTATTCATCCTGGGAAAGGTCTGCAGCGTGTGCTGCTGGAGGGGCTGTGAGGAGATCCCGAGCGCTCTGCAGTGTGGAAGGGACTGCTGTTCTGAAAGGATTTAATTGCCTTCATTACCCTGGGGATGCCCAATGCTGAGGGAGCACTAATGGTGTTGGAAATTCAGAATTTTTCAACCAGTTCTAAAACTGAGGTTACCTTTTCCCTCCACTGCAGAACCTGAGTGGCTTGATCCAAGCTCCCACTGAAACCAAGACAAAAGATGTCCATGGATGTTTGATAGGACCCAGAGATTCTGGTCTCTTGCAGTGCCAGTGCTCAACAGAAGCTGTGGTTGGTGACTCCGTAAAGGGAAATATTCCTCTCTGCTTGTGAAGTCAGGGATGGAATGGACTTTATTTCTTCGTAAAGCATGAAATAAACCCCTGACAACAGGAGGAAAAGATGGAGGCAGACAGATAACTACAGAATTTAGGATTAGGGTAGGGACTGTCTCCTTCCTCCAGGTTTTTGGAGGAACAATAGCTACTGCTACAGTGCAATGGAGTTTGCTTCTGGCTGCCTGAGAGGCTTCCTATATGCAAGTCCTTTTTCAAGCGCTCTGCCTTAATTTTCCTAACTCAGAGCAGAAGGGACAAGCAGGCTTAGCATAAGACAAGACCTGAGGACCACAGGACTCAACTCCTATAAGCTTTTCAGAAGTCCCTCCAGACTTTCTGTGAAGCCACCTGGCAAGGCAGCCTCCAGCTCAGCACTGCAGGGCTAACATGGTCCTTTGCAAACCCCAAAGCAGCTCTGTGGGTATTACCTGTTTCGTCACTGTACTCCCCGTCAGGACAGTCCACGCACTCGAAGCAGCAGGTGGGCTCTCCCTCAATAATGCCCTTCCTGGTGCCTGGGAGGCAGTCCCTGCTGCAGTTAGAGAAAGGCACCTGCAAGAAAAGAACCCGAGGAGGGTTAATGGTGGCGGTGCCCCACATGCAGCCTTTCTACAGCAGGACCCTGGGCTTCCTCCGAGGGCGTTGTTGCTTGATTAGCATGCTGGATGGAGAGCCTCAGAGGCTCACCTCTTCCCTCCACTGAACAGACACATTTTGCAGAATAGTCCTTCGCCAACCCAATGCAGTGATATTTGTTTGAAAGAATACACCAAGGGATGGTAGGGAAGAACAGCAGATCTTTGTAATCTCTACTGTGTTGTGGGCACTGCGAATTGGTATGTGACCCATGATACACATACCAGAACACAGTCATTAGATGGTTAAAAGAAAAGACAATCAATCTCTGCTGGCAGGAATTTGAGTCAGCCTTGGAGATAATCGGCTCTGCTGATCCCCAATCCCGTACATTGCATATTGACTGCTAATGATTTATGGGAATTAAAACAGTTTCTTGAAACCCACTTCCTCCTGCTCTCCTGAAGACCCTCTCCAGCTCAGAAACAAAAAAACTAAAATAACTAAACAAGAGAAATTTTCATATGAAAGAAAGAAAGGCCCTGGTTTTAGAACACTGAGCATCTAAAGATGCAAATCAGGAGCTATACGCAGATCCAAAGGCTCACAGACTTCTGCTGCTGCAAATGATGAGCTGTGTCATCTGCTGGCTATGCACTTACGCTGTGTGTGAGTGGCAGTGACCTGGGCATGGTCATAACCCGGCAGCAAGTGGTTGCATGGGCACACTCGCCACATGCCTAATGCACACCGACAACAAGGAGTTCAGCAGAATAAGTGGACACCTGGGCCCTTTTTACACAGAAGCACAACCTGAGGTTGAGCTCACCTTTTCCCAACTGAATTAAGGAAAGAGAACTGACACAGAACATGACTTTCTCAGCTCAGGGGAGTTAAACCCACAATTTCCACTGCCAGCAAAGTACCATGGTCTGTACAGACTTAAGGGCTGCTCCAGTCGGAAGCCTCTATTCACCTTTTTGGAAGTTTGCTGCTAGTTTGCCCAAGTGCTGCTAACCTGCTGATCTCCAGGAACCTCCTGTGTGGATGCACTTAGACAGTGAGTCCGGGGTATGGTTTGGAAATTGCCTGTGTGCAGGCATTGACCCCAGCCACAGGGTAAGCAAGCCCTCGGTAGTGGCAGCTCCTGTGCAGAGATGCCTATTTTGTGGCTCAAGTATCACCTGCAGCTGAGAGCGGTCGCCATTGCCTATCACTCTGAAGTACAGCTGCAGCAGAGTTTTGGAACACTGTTTCTAAGCTGTTAATCAGGAATGTGTAATTAATTGGACAGGCACATGTCCCGGGCAGAGCCCTGCAGCTCCCCACTTGCAGCACTCTCTGCTGTTAATACCCATTGCTATTAATACAGTGTGTTGTTCACACCTCTTCCTTGGGACAGTCTTTCAGCGGGTAGTGCATCCACCAAGAGGATCATCAGTCTAGACTGTCTTAACTGATGATTTTGAACAGGGCTGAATCAGAGGCCTGACTGAAGTCATGCACTGCTTGCCCGTTACCTACTAAGCTGACTGAGCTTCCAAAGAGGAAAATGAAATTGGTTTGGCATTATTTCATCTTGATAAATCCACGTTGGCTTTTTCTTATCAGTTTATTATCCTCTAAGTGTTTATAAACGGTTTCTTTTTTTTTTTTTATCAAGTCTTTTAGGTTACTGGAAGAAATTCAAACTCTATAAACTGAAGAAAAAGCTGCAGCAAACAGAGAGACCACAAAGCCCTGCACTGGCACACAGTTTACATGCCCTGGTATGATACTTAGCAATATCCAGTTGCATTTGTAACAGTTCAGGACAGAGAATGAAGATAAACATTGCACTGTTAGAGGAATTTATACCCAGACAACACAATTACTCAGTTTAAGTAAAAAACCAATAAAATCCTAACTGTTGGAAAAGGTGCCAGTGACATTTCAATGATCAGAAGGAGGGCTTAGAATATCAGGTTGTTTTAATTCCATTTGCAGTTTGTGCTCAGAGACTCCAGCTGGGCTTAGAAAAGCCTGAGCTCAGTATTTCTGTGGTAATGTGCTCTGCCTGACCCATGCCTCCTTTAGAGAGCTCTGGATTTAAACAATAAGTGAAGCTAGAGTATCTGGAGTAAAGGTAAGGCTTAACTGATGGTGTAAGCGCATTAGGCAAGTGTAGCTACTGCAGAAGCAGTTACCTGATCTGTTAGCCAATGTGAGTAATCACCTGGAATTGAATTGCCTTGTTCTTTAATCAGGTGCTGATTTAACACATCTAAACATTGCAGCAGGGCCTGGCAGTGACATTTCTAAGCTAATGGACCCTGTGTCACCTCCCAGGCCACAAGCCAGATGCCCACTCAGTATCCCTTCTGGGAGCCAGTGTTTGTGTCTAGGCTGGAGTGGGCTGACGCCAGCTATGACAGCAGCTCATCTGGCTCTTGTCCGGAGATACCTGCACCACGTTCCCATCATGCGGGGGAGACACAGCCCTGCCTGCTACTGTCAATAGTTATGGTGAAATGATCTAATGTATGTGAGAAAGTGGAGAAGGACTTAGGCCTGACTAAAGTCACTGGCTACAACGCGTACTTTTGAGATTGCAGAAGCACCTTCTGGTAGATTAAAAAAAGGTAGCAGGTACTGGCATCTCCCACTATTTCAGCACCATGTCCAAGTTAACCTGGGCAGATTGGCAGGGCTTGTTCTGTTTGGTTTGCAACGCAAGGGTGTGAGGAAACCTCTGCGACTTGGAGAGTAAAGCCAGCAGAAAGAGTCACGAATTCTACCAGGAGCGGGAAGAAACACTTGATACAGAGTTACTGCGAGTGGAAGAAATGGATGTTTTCAGCAAGGAAACTACTAAGCTCCGGAAAACTTGACTTAGTCAACAACCAGAATTGGGTGATGAATTTCTCATCTTTGTGGAAACAGCATTGCAAAATTCCAAGCCATCTACTTGAGCCAGAAAAAAGGCATTATTTAAACCCTTAATACCCAGGCTCATCAAATGTATAGGAGGGGAGAAGCAGCTGCCTGTTATTTCCAGAAGTGTGTAACAAGGGTGGGAAAGACTATAGCAGAGACCATGTATACAGTAAGATGAATGGATCTTTTAATGAGACAGGAGCCATAATACGAGGAGTGTGCAGGGTTAGTTCAAATTTCAGCTTGTGGAAACTTGGGAAACATTGCTGTGAGGATTTAAGCACTTACCTCCTTAGAGAATCCACTCCACAGGATCTTGTTTTCATTGATAAAGAGCCTCTCCCCCTTCTTGGCATAAACGTTGTAGTGCCCAACCTCTTCAAAGACAACTGAACCATCCTCCGGAGAGAGATGCCAGTTGATTATTGAGTAATTCCCTACCAGGTCCCCAAACTCATCAAAATCCACTTGCTCTCCCATGTTATTGGTGAAATTTAAGTGTCGCAGATGCTTGAGTACCTAGAGAGAGATAGAGCGACACCGTGAATGCCTGTGTGTCACAATCCTACCACAGCACACATCTGCTATGGGGGCAGAACTGGAAATCATTTTACTACAGTCCTTAATCTTTTAAAAATCAATTAATCACAGCCGTACCAGGCTTTCTCTCAGAGACATCGCACGCACACACAGAGCCTGTACAAACCTCGTAGACAGCACAAGGTATCGCGGCTCTCAGGGTGGTCAGCACCCATCTGTAACACTCACCAGTTCCTACCCCACCAGCCATTTAGCATTCTTCTTCAGTCCCTTTAAGCCACCTTCGCAAGTCTGTAGCCCTTCATCGGGGCAGAGAAGGGGCAGCAGCCACTGAAGTGTTTCAGTCACCCACGCAGCCCTCTCACCCTGCTTTTGCAACCACTCTGCATCGCTCGTCTCTGAATGATCAATCACTCAGAAACAGGAAAACAATTCAAATTTGACTTTTGATTGAAAAACCCCAAGCCCAATGCACTTTAGCAAAACACAACAAATCAAGCTCATTCGCCACATGGCAGGCCTGGACAATTCATACCAGTTTTTTTTGGCTCCTGTCTCCTGGTTGCGCAGTTTCAAGTAATCACATTCTGCCTGTCCCTACGTGTTGATTCCTGTAATTTTCACCTCATGCCTTAAACTGTCATATGCTACGGACAAGAGCAGTTAATCCCAGGGACGATGGCAGTTGCAAAATTCACGATCTAGATAGCCTGACAGGTAGATCAGATAAACTCCAGCATGAAAGAAAGCCTGTACTGGCAACTGTGATACAATTCATCCACAGCATATTTTTCTTCAAAAGTCAGTTGCTGGTTATCGGATGTTTTTTTCCCCTCCTTATTTAATGGATGTTCTTAGTTTCTCTGTAGAGCTCATGTGGAAAGCAGAGGTGATTCTGAGAGCACCCGGCTGTCAGCTGCCCCTGGACCACTGCAGTGTAGTTGCTGCTGTGGTTCTAGTGCCTGTGACAGCTTGTAAGCCCAGTACTCTCTCTCTCACCTGCGAGTGCCCAAGCATACAAACCTGGATGGCAAAATGTAAGAAAAAACAAAATGAAATCAATTTGTCTGGGCAGGCAGAGCTCTCCTCACCCCATAGACATAGAACAAACAATGTTTTTTTGATGAAGCCTTTTCACTTGGAAACCCAGGGACAGGGGAACAGAATCACTTCATTAATTCCTGTCAATTTTGCTAAATTGTCTCATTTTTCTCTGTTTCCTTTTGGGATGTTCCTGTCTTAAGCTAAAATCCCCAGAGCTACAGAGATGCCCTCCTCCCACTGCCTATATCAATGCCAGCCTGAGACAGCCTGGAAAAATCATAGTAGTACTACGCAGGACGTGGCTGGCAATACCTTTTCGGCTTTGTGTGATGTTGATGGAAGTACATCAAAATATTGCCACAGTATTCTGTCTTTGAATAATGGGTGAGATAGCGGAGGCAGGATTTTTTTTCATGTCTGCTGGCCCTCCTCTGTAGATACCATAAAGTGTGCAGCTGAAATGATCTCACTGAAGTGCCAGGACCTGTCCCTGGAAGACCTCACCCGCTGATGGACATGGCAAAAAAAAGGTGCTCTGCTCTGACACTTTGCTGTGGGGAGCCAGGCATTGCTTGCTGCAGGGAAGAAAAGAGTAGACTGCTCCCCCTCGTCCCCCTCGTCCCTGAGGGGCACCCAGGAAGGTGCTACTTGCCCTGCTCTGTCAGGGAACAGTGAGAACAGAGCAGAAGCAGCTCTGAGGTCAGAACGGATGACACAGGGTCTGCAGATCCACAGTGATGTCTGTACTCCATCAACTCACTTTGGCCTCACCTGCAGGGGGGCTGCAATCCTGGATGTGTTAGCAGGAACTTTGTCCATCAGCAGTGTAGGTCTCAAGCAGGGAACCCGCATTCCTCTGCAGGCTCTAGCACCCACCACAGGGTGACACCTGCAGCTTTGACGTCCAGATCAGATTTGAGTCGTTATGTTGAGCTGAATGCCACGTTTCTCCTCACTCCAACTCAGTACTGCACTCTCATGCAGCAGTGTAGCACTCTGCTGAATGACACTAGGATATCCTGACTGGATATCACTGCTGGGTTGACTGTTACCTGCATAGACAGGAGGTGCAGACCTTGTGCTTCTTTTGATTACAGTTACGACACACATTAGGAGACAAGCTTGCAAGAGCCAGTTTGAAGATTCTTCAGATCAACTCCTGCCTCTCCTGGCCAGCTGCAGTGGCAGGAGGCTGCCTGGTCTTATGGTCAGTGAGATGAACGCTGGAGAAACTTCTGGATTCCCTGGATGCATTTTTTTTTGTTTAATTTCATAACATTCATCTCAATTAGTCTATTCCTTTGCCTTGCCTCCTGAAATTAGGCTTCTTAGAAAGTAATACATACCCCTGGCTACTGGTGGGTTTTTGTAGGATTAGTTTAGTAGCATGTTTCCCTTGGTCACACACACACTACACCTGAGGATTCAGATTATAAACCATTTCATGTATGAGCTGATACCTCTATCTGGCAGGTAAATATTCATGTAAAAGCACTGATCTGTACTTAATGCTGTCTTTCCCCAGGCACAGAACAGCAGCTTCCGCAATGCAGCCATAGCTGGGGAGCAGGAGAGCCCAGGTGTATCAGTTCATGCAGGAAAGCCACATGCCCTAGTTAAAATCCCAAATAGATGGGCAACAGGAACAACACGAGTAACAAAACCTGTTTTCTCTTTCCAGCAGATACCAAAGTTGTCTTCAAGTCTGAATTTCTGAGGCACAGCTTGTGAAATGGTAACTGAACAACTACTAGGACATGTTCCTCTTTTAGATAGCAAGAAAATCCCAGGATGGTATCCATGTATCACACAAGTTCTGCTCTCTACAGGATGTAAATATGGTTTAAGCAGCCAAGGAATATATAAGCACCAAACTTTAAAAGAGGAAGTTGTAGACTCTGAGTAACTACAGCACTTTTTTTACAGGCACCAGTCTATCAATGATTAGCTAAAGGCTTTACAGCTAAAAATGTGTCACTGTGTTTTGTAACTAAAGATAGAAACATAAATACCCAGGACTCAATCCACAAAGACTTAAAAGACCCTGCTTCAGCAAGGGCAAGAGCACGTGTCAGGGGTACGTGTATCGTATCCTGGAACCAAGAGTTTACGAAAGAAGTGTTGACCTCGTGGCTTGAATACACAGCTGCTGGAAGCCTGCAGGGAGAGCATTGTGCAAGCCGCTGCCTTCAGAAGTTTCTTTGTGTAATTTTTCCTCCTTTTTCTTCCCTCTGTCACAGGGTCCACATTGAATTGCAATTGAACTGTTCATTAAAATGTGTGTTATCAGAAAAGACTTGCAAGCTGCCCTCTAGTTCACCCTCCTATTATTCCTGGTAAGGCCATTCCCAGCCACGTAGCAACCCATGGTTTATCTGGGCTAGGTGTTCTGGGTTGTGTGGTTTCCACTCTTATGGAAAGATCATAAAACCATAACATACAGTTGTATTAGGTCAGACTGGCAGCCCATCTCCCCAGGACCCGTTTCTGACTGTGGCCAACAGCAAATGTTGACACAAGAGTAGAAGGGGACGTGATACTTCCCCAGAATACTCTCACAAATTTTGCAGCTCAGTGACTTCCAGGGCCAAAGGTCTTTTTACCTGATAACCTAAGGTGGATTTTTCTTCCATGATGTTGCACATTTGTGTTCTGCACCTGTGCAAACTTTTCACATCCACAACCTCCTACAGCAAGGAGATCTACATTTTATGAGAAAAGCACCTCTTCTTGCTTGTGGAACAGAGCAGTTACTAATCTCTTTTGATGACCTTCATGCTTGGAAAAGATGAAGAACTGTCATTTGCTAGTCACCTTTTCCATGCCTTTCATGATTTTACAAACCTTTGTCAGATCTCTCTTCAGCCGACTCTTTCTCAGGCTGATGAGCCCTATCCAACTGTCCTGCTTCTTATACAGAAGCTGTTCCATTGACCTTTCTCCAAATATTCCCAGTCTCCTTCACCAGTTCTGAGACTTACACATGATACTGAAGTGAGATGCACTAAGGGTTAATGAAGTGGCCCCAGGGCACTCTGTTAACCTCTCTGTCCCTTTTCCAGTGTGACTATTCTTAACAGTGCATTTGCTTCTTTGACTACTACTCAGCCAGACCTGAGGAGTCCACCCAAGGACCTGTTCAAGCTTGAAGATCTCATTTGTGATTAGTCAGAACTCAACATTTATTTTTATCCTCTGCTGACTATCTTTCAACCAACTACTTATCCATGAGAGGACTGCATTTGGTGACAGACTACCAGAAGTGTTTTGGAAGCCTGAGTGTACTCTATGAATAGGAGCTCCCATATCCATATACATCCCACTGACTTCAAAGAACTTCAGGAGGTTTGCGAGGTAGGGCTTCTCTTTACAAAAGTTATGGTGACTCCTCCTCAGTATATTCTATTTTTCTTTTTCTTTTTTTTTCTTTTTTTTTTTTTTTTTTTTACTACAGTTTCTAGTAATGGGCTCAGTCAGGCTCTGCTAATTCCTTGGATATCCTCCAGAATGCTTTTAGAAAATTGATGTTGCATCTGTCAACTTTCTAGGCCTCAGGGGCTAAGATTGTTTCAAGTGAGAGGTTGGTCACCATAACCAGCACTTCAGCTACTTCATCTGTGAGCTCCGGCAGAGCTCTTGGGTAAACATCATTCGCTTGCACCGAATTATTAGGGTTCATTTTGCTCTTGTGTCCCATAGTTTCTTCTACAGTCACTTCGATCAGACAGATCCTCTACAAGTCGCCCATAAATAAACTCAGGAACCTTCTCAAGTTTGTCCATAAACAGCACACTTTTCTTCTGCCATGGTCTTACCTTGTCTTTTGCAGTGATAATCTATGGCTCAACAGACAGTCCTACTGCTGAAGTATTTAAAAAAGGATTTATGATCTTTTACCCCATTTACAGCCTATTCCTCATTCTGTTTTTTTGGCC